CACATTATTTGTATTTTTTTCTAACTTACCTTAATAGATTTCCAAATTTTTATAGTTTTTCTGGGTTGAACTAAAGACAATAAGATTATAAGGACAAAGAGTTTGTGAACAAAATTCATAATTGAAGATCAATATTTTGGAAGATCTTACAATAGTATTTCCTTGCCATATTATTTTTTTATCATACTCATGTATTTATAATAACCAAGGATATTTAGCATTATTTTGATTTGATTTTCCTTTTCAAATATATAATATACACTTTTATTTTTATTAATTGTGTATACTTGTTTAGTTAAAGTGTTTCAATGACAACAAGTGTTTTAAATATACATTTTAATTTACTTAATTGTTTTCAGATTTCATATCCATATATAAAAAGTATTTTGTCTCAATATATATTAGTCCACTTGACTTTGAAAAGAAATAAAAAGTCACTTCAATTTGATTAATTAATTATATAGTTTTGCTGCATTAATTTTAAAGATTTTATTTTGTTTAATATTCATATACATAAAAGACAGAAAAGGTTTTCTCCTCCCACTCTCTGTTGCAATTTCTCATAAATAAATATATTTCTTTTATATTAATTCAAAATAAAAAAGTAAGATGCACTTCAATCTTCTTACTTACTTAAGTTTCTCTATCTTTATTAGTTTTACTTGATTTACTGATCTGTGTGTTAGTCCAGTTAAATCTGACTTGTTAAAATTTGCTTACTTGTATAAATTTTAGTTTTTTTCTTGATTATATATATGTACTAGTATTAAGGCCCATGCTAAAAGCATGGGTGAAAGTAAAGTGTTTTTAATCTTATTTAAATATAGCAAATCAAACTCCTAAAATGTTCTAAATTTTAATAAATATAGCAAATTAAAATTCCAAAAGCACAAAATTTTGCAAGGAATTATAGAAAAAACCCCATAATTGTCTTCCATATCTTCTGTTTTTTCTTTGCACTTTATCATTTGCATCCTCTCTATTCGCTGTAGTTCCCACTTGCAAGAAATATTTTTCTGAAATCTCACAAAAATATAAATCGTAAGATTGATTGCATCAATTGGCAATTTAAACTTACTCTTCCAATTGTATAAGTTAGAGCATGTATGAGATACACAAGGGTACATAAATTAATATTCCTTTAATTTAGATTCAGTGCAGCTTGATATAAAATATATATTTAAAATCTTACACCATTGCAAGTAAAAAAAAAAAAGGTTTTGGGATAAGAAAAGGAAACAATACTACTTAAATTAAAAGAAAATGCATCCTAATGTTAAACTTACTCTCATCTGTTAGAACTTGGCCCCAAATATATTTTGTAATGATGTTACAATCGACGATCCAAGCTTTGTTTAGTTGCATGTGTTCCAAATGTGATTGTTTCCAGTCCTGAGTCCCCAAAATCACAATTTCATTGGAGCCATTTGAGACAATCAGGACGAAAAATGGACCCAAATTTCTACTTATATAATCACAATTGATCAAATTACAGTATAATAAGCAAAAATTTATATAATTAAGGAATGGCTAAAACAATTATAAATGATACAAAGTAACTTATTAGTGATACATGTACGTGAGAATGGAGATGAGCTTTAATAGAACGGTAAGCACTTCACATTATGGTTCTACATTCACAACACATTCCCCAAAATTAAGTAATTGTAGGTTTGGCTACTGTAACTGCGTGTGGACATTTACAGACAAAAATAAAATGCTAAAACTTTTTCAATGGTCAATCCTTTGTTTTCTCCGGAAATCCTTTGGTAAATCATAACATATCGATGAAACAAACAAAAAAAACCCAGAAGAAGCCGATATGAGTCAAAAAGACAAATATATTAAGAGAATAAAATTTGGAAATCCAAAATATAAAGAATTTGGGAAGATAAGATGAAGCACCTTTGTGTTCGCAGAAATGTTTTTTTTTGGTGAAAACTAAATTTCAGAACTCTTTTAAATTGGATGAGAAGGTGGAGATCGGAGATCGTGTAGATTGAGAGGAGAAACAAATGGTTAGAGGAGAAAAAGATGGAACTTGAGATATGAGAGATTTACGTTTTTTTTAATTTAATTGATTTGTTGTTTTTTCCATTAAATTTGAAAAATTCTTAGAATGACACGTCTCTATTTGTATTACGTGTCAGCTTGAGAGTAATTTTAGATTCCTCTCTCTAACTTCACTTCTGTTTTATAAGATAAAAAATTTCTATAAAATATAAAACATTTCTCAATCTTTTTGTCACTAAATCTTAGATATCGTATGAGCTGGTAGCAAACTCAAGTTACGAAATCTTGATTACTTGAAGTTTCTTAAAAAAAAAAACAACATTTTGATTACTTCAGGCTATAATTTTTTTTTTGATTACTTTATTAATGATATTTTGTTAAGTAAATAATGAAAGAAATCATATACCAACTTCATCCCTATGCCACATTACGTGTGATAGATCACATATTTTCTTGATATATACTATGAAGACCCAATTATTTATTTTTATAACCAAAACCATATTTTTTTTGTAATACTTTTTTCTTTATTGACTCACTTCTAAGACATTATTAATACATATTCATAATCTTTTGTTTCTGCCAACACGCTTTGTCATCAATCCATAAAGTTCAATCTTCATTGTGGAAACTTGAGATTCAAGTTTCAGGATTATAATGATCATATACATATTATAATTGGAGGATCGGGCAATTAATTCATTGCAAAAATCATTTTTTTTGTTTAGCTATTTAATATATATACACACACATTTTCACATAAATCCAGTTGAATGTGAAAATAGAGAATTGGGTTTTCTTACACGTCTGTGTAGTGGAAGTTAGTGAAGGCAAAATTCTTCCTGAGGCGACGACCATGCAATGGGTGTATGAATTGCTTCTCGTTGTAGCCATCATCGTTTTAGCCGCACTCTTCATCGTCCTAATCACCATTGTCGAGGGAATATGGTGTTGCAACGGCAAGAGAAACAAAAGTTCATATATATATTGAAATGGGTGTCGTGTCGGAGGAGGTATTAACGATCTCAACTAAAAGACACTCAACACTCTTCAAGGTTTAATAGATATTTCCATGTATGGATTTAAGAATCTTGTTTAAATGATTTGGTCCGACCTGTAGCATGTGGTATTAAAGTTGAGTTGCAGTAGATGTTTTAATTCGATGTAAATTGCAGTAAAAAGACTGTGCTAGAAACTGCAGATTTATATAGTAGGTTTGATGTACAGATACGAATTAGCATTTTTATCAATACAACCGACTGGTATTTGGTGGATATTGGAAGTCTACGAACACAAATATATTATGGAGTCGATTGGTAAAGACCGTGATTATAGATTGTTACTGTAAGTTTTGGGCTGTTACTTTTAAATATTAACAAAAGTTTGATCGATAATTAAAATTGTATAAATTGTGACTATTATTATAAATTTTTGTTTGAAAAAATGTAAATTCTACGGAATTTGCATTCGGTTGGTAACAACTATTTTAATTATTTTGGATAGTAAACTCTTTCATTTAGGTAATTCTATCAAAATAAAAATAGTATGATAGTCTTTTTACTAGTCAACATATAATTAAAAGAGATATCGATAAAGAAAATAATCC